ACGCGTCGTCAGTCAGCCGCGGAGAACAGGCGGTGCTGTGCGAGAAGCGCGCGCGATCTCGTACTTTTAAGGCTGGATCCGGCCATTCCAAGGGTAGCCTAGGTGTCGCCCGCGGCACGGGCGCCCCGCTCGCCGTTCGCGCGGTCCATCGCCGCATCCCCATCCCCGTCTGCGGCGGCGCCTCCTACGCCGTGCCGGCCTGCTCTGCGACGGCTCGCCACCGCTCGTCGTCCAGCATGTGCCACCACCGCCGATCCGGGTAGCCGTCGTACTCGATCTGGTGCGCGATCCGTCCGTCCCCGTCCTCCTCCCGCGCCATGACGGTCGCAGGGTACCACCGCTCACTGTCGCAGAAGATCTCGAGGCGCGATCCGGTGGACAGGACAGTGTGGCCGTCGAGCGCCGCCCTGGCATCCTCGCGCTGTCGCTTCCGCCGCTTCGCCTTCGTCTCCTTGCTGCGCAGCAGGGTGTAGTTCGGGCCCACCTCCGCCACGCTGTCCAGCAGCTGGGCGGCGCTCGCCATCTCGACCGCGTCGTCCTCCGGCGGAAGCTCCGCGTCGCCCGCGGCCGCTTCCCGAGCGCGCTCGTCGCGCATCCGCTCGTGGTGGGCCTGCCGACGCGCCACGCCGGCGCCCGTGTGCCTCGCCGCCGCGTCCGGTGACGGCATCGGTCGCTGCCACAGGTCGTCCCACAGGTCGTACCAACAGGTCGTCCCAAAGGGGACGCATCCAAACCGCCGCATTTCGCCCGCCGAAAAGTCTCCCACTCGCTCTGCCCCAATCTCGAACCAATCTCGAGTCGTCTCACTAGTTACATACATACCTGGCGTGGGCGAGGCGCTGGCTGATGTCGCGGTCGCTGGCCGATGCTGCCGCTACGGCACTAGACAGCAACCCTCTCGGTGACGAGGAGTCACGCAAGGTCGAGAAGCCGGTCGCGAACAGCGCCCGCTGCATCGAGCTCGCCAGATCGCTCTTCGGCATCGAGCCACTGACCGGTTCGGTCCGCGACCTTGATTCGTACGACGACCGCAACTTCTACTGCAAGGCGACGTCGTCGCGCCCGGAGCTGAAAGCCGCGGCCGACTGCCACGCGTGCGGCGACCCGCCGGGCAGCTTCCACTTTGTCGTCAAGGTGCACAACGGGGTTGAGTCGCTCTCCCCCGGCTTCATCGAGTGCCAGAACCTGGCGATGGAGCTCGTGCGCGCCGCCGGCGTCTGGTGCCCGCGCGCCCTCCCGTCACTCGAGGGCCGGCAGATCGCGTTTGCCGAGCAGCCTCTCGCCGACGGCTCAGTGCGGAGGCACGCTGTCCGCTGCCTGCCCTA